GTCTTTAGAGAAGGAGACTCCACAACCTCCCTGGGCAGCCATTTCTCAAAAGAATGCAGCATGCATTTCTCAAAAGAAAGTAAGTAGTAAATCACTAATCAATCACAACAATTCAATTACTTTGAATTCCACAAGGTAGTGTATCTGGTAGGTTTGGAGCCCTTGTATCCCTCAGTCAAATAGGATTGTAATTGACTCCTATATCTGAAAAGAATTTAGTAGCAAGAGGAATGTCATTTAAAGTTCTGTGAAAAAATGCTTACCTTTAAAATGCTTATAGCTATCAGAGTTGCTCACTATTACATTTGAAAGATATGTGGCATATTTCTCCTTCAGGCAAAATGACAAGAATATTAGATGTGAGTTCTGGTGAACAAGTTTATATCAAATCATAGAATCATAGAATCATAGAATGGCCTAGGCTGGAAGGAACCTTAGAGATCATCTAGTCCAACCTCCCTGTTTTTTAGGCAGGGATGCCACCTCTCGACTAGACCTGGCAACACGCAGTACACTACTTGGACCTTCAGTTCTTGTGCCCTTGTGATCATTTTTCTATTGGACTGTGGAATTAAGTCTAGTTGTATGATTTCTTTGACTTTCAGCTTCACTGCTAGTAAAAATGAAGATAATGTGACTTAGACCATTTTAAGACAAGTGTGAAGAGTTTGTATGGATTCTTAATATTTTTGCAAGTATTTTAATATCTCAATTTCCCATTCCCCAAGGAAAAAGACATCCTATGCTAATTTGTGATGATTCATAGCAAATTTTCAAATCTGTAACTACGTAGTATCAGTAAATCATAAGGTAGGTAATTTTTCTCACAGTTCTTTGTAGGAGGTTATAAATTTATATTTACTTGAAGAATGGTAAGCATATTTTACCATATGAGCTGTATTTATATAATTCATTTTACAAAAAAAGTAAATTTTATTGATTTACTACTGCTTTGCAAAATAGTAAGTATTTAAATCTTCAGTCTTAGCCTTCCAGTTATACCTTTCTTCAGAGTGAATTTCCATAAAAAGAATAAGCTCTGTTGTCACACCTGTGCCACCTGTCAGTATCTCATGCTTCATCAAGTGTGTGTTCGTCAAGGTTCTCTTGTTGATATGTGACTGCTGTACTATTGTGGTGGCTTCTGTCAGATAATGCAGCTGTCTTGAACTCCCACATATGAAAGAAAAATACAGCTATATAGCCCTTTGAAGAACTCTTACAAAATGTGTTTCTAATTAGATACATATAATAGAGAGTACCAGAGGGATTTGTTCATTGTCAGAGACCTTCAGAGCTGAATTTCCGCAACACTATGCTGAAGCACATAGACAACAAGAGGCATTTATGACTGCATGTGATCCACAGATAAGAGATGTGCTAGATCTGAAGCATCTGAAATAAGAAGCAGTGGGAAGCAGAAGCATCCTTGTATTTCACAACCATTATACTCAGTGTTTATCCACACAATTCAGGCAACAAACACTTAATGTAACGTTTCAAAAGGAAACACTTTAAAACATAACTTTTAAAAGACATTTTTAAACCTTATCTATGGTCCAGTAACAGCAGATGCTTGTTAAAAGAGTGTTTCTAAAAGACAGATAAATTTGTAATTTTTTTTTGTGATAGACTATAGACAGTGGAAAATAGAAGTTTCACTTCTTCATGTAAGCATAAGGCCCTCTGCTGGGACAAGCAGTTCCAAAGTGCCTTGAAGTGTTCTGCTGGGTGTGGGCTGTACAAGGAGCATTTTAATCAGATATTGCTTACTTGCAGTGTGACAGGTTGTGCCATGATCAGTCAATCTAATAAAACCTAGTTTCCAGTGGCTATCTCCCACATATTGTCCCCTTCATGTTGGGGATGATCTTTTAAGTCTTTCTCTGTATGAAGACTTAATAGAGTATCTCTTTTTATTTGTAGGTCTGTTTTCCTGAAACTTTTGTGAGGATATATTTTTGAATCTTCTAGTCTTTTGTTGAGTCAGGAGAAGAGAACTTATGTCTCATTTCTTTGGGAAACCAGTCTAAATGCAATATTTAGAATTCTTATTGTAAGAATACAACTATCTTCATGTGTCAGAAGAAATATTTGTACTAACTCCATCAGAGTATGTATATACTTGTATATAACGTTAAATCATTAAAATAAGTGGCAAAACCCAGCAAGTTAAAATGCTGCAAAGTTGAAATGCCAAATTAAGGTTATTAAACCTGAATTAAGGTTTCCTCTCTTGTTATGGTAGTTATAACACTCCGTGTTACATGAGAAGCCAGGTGTACCATAAGCAAGATATAGAAAACTGAAATGCTCAATCTACTTAATGTCTCAGTCTCAGAGTCGAGTTTAAAAAAAAAAGAAAAGAAAAAAATAAGTGTATTAAGACTGTACATCTGAATTAAGTTCCTATGTTCCAAAGTTTTATGAGTAGCCTACACTCAAAGAGTAGATGCATATTAGAAAGGTCATGGAATCTCCATCCCTGGAGATATTCAGACCTCAACTGGACAAATCCCTGCAGAACTTGACGTATGCTGGTCATGCTTTGAGCAGAGAGTGGACATGGTGACCTCCAGAACTAAATAAATCTATCCAGAAAGAGCTGGTCCTATAAAGTATATGTAATCTGTATGCTTTAAAATACCTAAAATTACTTCCGTATAAAGCAAATTGAAACTTTAAAACTGTTGGATTCCATTAGATCAAAAAAATATTTATCATAATTCTTTGAAATCTGCACATGGTCTAACTATTAGCTGGGCTGGTTGGCAATTATTTGGTTACTATAAAAATAAGGACTAAATTTTACTCACGTTGGATATAGTCTCTCATTAGATCTCCTGAGAAAGGAGATTATTTTCACAGTATCTAGGTTAGATAGACAATGGCATGCTGAATGATAGACAATCTGATGCAAAACAGCACTTCCAAGAGAATTGCAAGAATTGTACATATGTTGTTACTGAATTTAGAAAATGAGATTGTCATTCATGAAAAACAGTGGTTTGTCATATAATTTTGTAAGGGATGGATAGTGTACCATCTAAAATATTGTCTGCTTGTTTAGAAGGTGATATAATAAGAGAGGTGTGCAGAAAACTGCTTCCTGATCTGAAATATAGTTTAACAAAATTTGATCAGTACAGTTTGGAGAAAAGACAACAAAAGAACAAGAGTAAGTCTATAAATCCTTGGGAGAAGTGGGCTTGTGGTATAAAAAGAGGAAATAGCCCTCAGCTATAACAGATAGGGAGTAGTGTTGTGTCTCTCGTATTTCACACATACGCAGTGCCATAGGTCTGTGGAATGAAATTAGCAAATGTGCAGAATTGAATTGTGGACAACTAGACGATAACTATAACAGCCATTAGAAAAACATTTGTAGACCCTAAGGTTTATTAGATGATGGAATAATTTGTCAAGGGAAGTTCTCAAGTACAAACATTAGGTAAGAGTAGCAACAGCAGGTCAAACTTTATTATGCAACATTCTCCAGCATTACAGCAGGGAAATGTAGTTTCCAGACATAAGGTCTTATGAATACAAAAAAGAAGCAAAGTTGTGGGCAGAAGGAGAGAAAACATATAGTCCACTACTCACGTCAGACAGTGGGACTGAGCGCACCCTCAGCAAGCTTGCCGCAACACCAAGCTGACTGATATGTTCGCTTTGCTGGAGAGAAGGGATGACATCCAGAGGGACCTTGACAGGCTTGAGAGGTGGGGCTGTGCAAACTGCTTGAAGGTCAAGTACAAGGTCCTGCACGTGGATTGGGATGATCCCAAGCACAAATACAGGCTGGAAAATAAGTGGATTGAGAGCAGCCCTGCAGAGAAGGACTTGGGAGTGTTGGAGGATGAAAAGCTGAAAAGGCTGAAGGAGTTGGGTCTGTTCAGCCTGGAGAAGAGAATGTGCTGGGGACTCTTATAGTGGCCTCCCAGGGGGCCTACAGGAAAGATGGGGAGGGACTCATTATCAGGGAGTGTAGTGTTAGGACAAGGGGGAATGGTTTCAAGTTGAAAGAGGGTAGATTTAGATTAGATACTAGGAAGAAATTCTTTTCTATGAGAGTGGTGAAGCACTGAAACATGTTGCCCAGAGAAGTTGTGGCTGTCCCCTCACTGGAAATGTTCAAGGCCAGGTTGGATGGAGCTTTGAGCAACCTGGTCTAGTGGGAGGTGTCCCTGCCCATGGCAGGATGTTGCAACTACATGATCTTTAAGGTCTCTTCCAACCCAAACTATTCTGTGATTCTATGTGAATAAGTGTGACAAACACCAATGAACAGACATTTCTTAAGCATGAATACTTCTTCTGTAAATTGTAAACCAAAATAAAACAAAACCAAAAAAACCCTCAAGGCATTTGCAATTTAAAATGCGATCTACCTCAAGGTTTTGAATAGTTATGAACAATGCTTTAGAATTTTACAAAATATATTGACAGAGGCAACTGTCATGACCAAATCCCACCAGGTTTTGTAGAAATACTTCAAAATAACCTATATATACAGGTTTATTTTCTTGAGGATATATATAGGTTTAGTTTCATGAGACTAAATATGAAGTGTTTCTAAGTGCAGTGCCTATTTCAGTTAGACTTTATTATTTAGTTAAGTTGTATTTGAAAAAACATTTGAGTAAACAACTCTGCACTTCTCACATAAAAGTGATATTACATGCCTCTCTCGATTTTGCAGCATTCCACACTTGAACAGTAATAAGAGATCCAGATTAGTCGCAAATTCAAATGGCCCATCTATCAACGCTTTTCTTATGGACAGATTGTCTGGTGTGACTGAGTACTTACTAGGTCACTTTGGATTGTGTCTGTGAAATGCAAGAATTTATTCTTGATTCTCTTTTATGTGTAATATTTTTGTTCATATGCACCATATTTATAGTCTGTTTTTGTCTAGACTAATGGTCTAATGAACTAAGTTTAACTCCGTTGATAGTGAAATTATTAATGCACTGTTTCTCTCTTCCTCCCTGCAGTATGCCGTCTGGCTGGTCCTTTGGGTTACGTGGAATGTGTTTGTTATCTGCTTCTATTTGGAGGCTGGGGACCTTTCAAAGGTAATTTACCATTGGATACATTTAAGCCATCAGCACTTTGTTAACATGCCCCAGTTGACAGGCTGTGTTCTGTTTTCCTCTTAGTGTTATAAGAATGAAAGTAGTATGATGGAAATCTGAAGTATTCTGGGTATGCTAGAAACTTTAAATCTAGATAACAATGAGCATATGCCTTTCTAATGCCCATGACAATAATGGTATATATGTTTTAAAAGAAAATTAGCTTTCCCCCCACCCTGCCCCAAGTAATTCTGCAATGCAAATTTCAACTCTGTGAGAGATATTAATTAGTTATTTCTTGAAGACAAAAGATAACCATCTCAAAGGTAAACAAATATTTTTTTGTACCATTTGGCTTGCTGTTTCTTAGCTGGATTCATTTCAGGGGTCTTATATCGCAGCATAATAGTTTAAAACAAGGTATTTCATTAAATTAAAATGTAAACTGAAGGTGCCATAATAGACTGCCATTTGGCTACGGCATTGTTTTTTACTTTGTGCTTCTGGTAGGAATGTTAGGATTGGACACTTAGACAAAATCAACATCCGTAGGAAGAATATATTTTCCGAAGAATTACATAGTTGACACTGTAAGGTGTAACATATGCATAAAGTGGCAGTTAATAATGGGCTCAAACCAACTTCTCAAACTAAAACTCCTACTTTCTAAGGTGTTCACAGTAGGCTGGCATTTTGTTGGATAAAGGATTAGCAGTGGTAACAAATTATTTGTTCAGATTTCAATTGAATATTGCTGTCCAGGCTAAGTTATGCTCACAGTGGTGTGAACTGACTGTCAAGAAGGATCCCACATGTGAAAGGGATCACATTATCTTCCTGCCTCGGATATTTAATTGCCATTCCTGATTAAAGGAGGTGTAGCCCAACTGTAAGTTATGATGCAGAGAGTTAAACACAATTATAGGAAGAATAAATGAGTCAAATATACTCCATTACCTGTATTTTCTCTCAAATGACCCCCCAAAAAATACTAGAGACTGGGATGTTTCATCCGCATGTACTCCGTTTCTTCAAAAGATGCTGACTTCAAATGGATCAGAATTTAATTTCCTGAGGGTGTAATGTAATTTTCTGCAGGTAAAACATTACATTTTCTGGGTTTTATACCTTCAGACAGGCCCAATCTTGTTAAAAGCCTGGGAAATAAATAGTAAATGAAAGAACTTGCATACATTATCTTTTATTTGGTTTAAATGCTTTATGTATTGCTAAATGAACTAATGTTTATAATAAACCTGGCACCTGTTATACAAGTATATTCAACCCAATCCACCCTCTTTCCACCTGCTTGTTTCAGCCACCTGCACTCCTAAACTTATGTGTTGGGATGTTTAACATTCCTGGGAAAGTGAAAAAGGGTTGGGGAGGAAGGGAGAAAGGAGAAGCAGCTGTTTGAGCACTGTGTTTTAATGGGTATAAAAACAGGTTAAGAACATGAGTAGTTGCTACTTGTGATAAGATGGGCCAAAACCAGTATCTAAACCTGGAGTGGGAGGAAAGGAAAAGTTCCTAGAAAATTGATTTATGAAATAGGTACAGTTTGACTCATTATCTGCAAAAGGTCTAATTTACACATGGGACATCAATCCCCTCTCCTCTCCCTTTTAACTGTGAATGATACATCAAAACTTCCCCACATGATCAAATATTCTGCAAGCTCTAGGGCCTAAAAATATATGTATAATGGAAAGATACCCAAATGTTTGGATGGATGAATCTTGTCTTCCTGTTCTACATCCTTCAGAGGCTCCTTTTTACAGCTGTAGGTATCTTAAAAAATAGATAATTTTATGTCTCTCGGTCACATTCATACATCTTGCACTGACTCTTTTGTATTGTTTATATTTTCATCGGGGAATAACTGCAACTTCATTTCTATAATGATACTTCTGTGTGGTTTTGTGTGTTTGAAATGGCACGTAGAATCTTGAAAAAAGTTCTGTGTTCTGAATTGGTTTTAAATAGTGAATAACAAATAACCTTTAGATAAGTACCAGAGGGATGCCTCTGAAGTTGTGAACCATGAGAGAGGATCCCACACAGCATGGCTTTAGGAATCGATAGGTTAAAATTACAGCCTAATAACAGTTCAGCTGGCTAGAGTGTATTTTTATATGTATAACTTATAGCTTTCCATCAAATAAAATAAAATAAAGGCTTCTTTTTAAAGTTTTAAGAAGAGCTGTTATTCTTTGTGTATTTACATAACTTTTTCCATCATTGCCTGCTGATGCAATTAGAAGACCTATTTCAATTGTTAATATAATCTATTACAAAATGCAGGCTAGCTCCATCCTTTTTTCTTTTAGTTGTGGGGGCAGTGGTCATGACATTTTTACAGCTTCTCCTTATTACACTGAAACAGGTTTGCAAAGATTCAGAAATTTGTAGAACAATGAGGTAATCATCTCTGAACAGACTGAGGAGGCTCAAGGATTATTAACGAACAGCCAAGCAAATCTGTTTGTATTATACACCATTACAGTCATGTGTATCTTGTGGAAAATAGCATCACACTAAGTATTTCAGGTCCTTGAGGCAGGGTTGTCTTTGCTGACGCTCTTTCACAGAAAGCTGGAATATTTGTGGCTTTATAACAAAGGTCTGTAACAGAGAGCAAAAGCAATCACTTTTTCTCAACATGGATTTTTATGTGGATCCGTGAATGCATGCCTAGAGAGCCCACTTCTCAGACTGACTTTTCAGTATTGCTCTTCAATAGTATTTAATTGATCTATGTGTTGTTTTTCTTGCTGGCGTGTGCCATACATGGTATAAGTAGGACTTTAAGGTTTCAGGAATGGTAATATTTATTTTGGCCTGTGGCTAAGCAAGTGTAGCACAGGAAGAGCATAACCTCTTGTCTTGAATGAAGCACACCTGAAGTACACTAGTGAAAAACAAAAGTAAAACATAATAGAAAGCATCTCTTAGAGAATATAGTATTACCTTGTTTTGTTTAAATATATCAAGAAAGGACACGAGGAACTAGATTCAGCTGTTGCAGAACAAACCAAAAAAAACCAACGAAAGTTAAGACTCTTTTTAGCATTTTCTACTTTCTTTTACAGACAAAACTCCTATTTACTTGTTATGAGATTCAGCTTCAACCTGTGAATAGAGACCCTCAGTAGAAAGAGTGCTGCAAATGCTCCTATAATGAAAAAACCGCCCTCTTGCTTCCAGGCATTTAAAAGCTTCCCCCTAAGGATCCCACAAGCAGCATAGAAGCAGAATAAGAGCTATTGAACTCTCATTTTTAGTTCAAAAATGCATAGGCATTTTTATTTTAAAATGTTTAAAATGTAGTTTAAAAATTTTAGATTAAAGATGAGGAGACATTTTTTTTCTGCAAAAAATGCACGACTGAGGTTGACACTGGTCCCATCACAAGCATGGGAGTGTATAGATGCTGCTGCTGTCAGTCACTGGACATCAAGGAGAGGTTAGACTTGGAATGATGGATGGGGTGGGGGGACAAGCTGGGGTTCAGAGTCGAAAACAGCCTTTGCAGTGCTTTGTCCTAGCCTTGTGCCAGTACTTTTGGTTCTCCCTCCATACAACCCTACTTGTGTGATCAGATAGAGGAGCTCCCCTATCATTGCCACCTGGCTGTAGTCTCTCCAGTACTGTGTGACTGTGACCACGAACAGAATTTTTAAAAAGTTGATTTAACTGGCAAAATTAACTTAGTTTCTATTTGTGTGGCATTCTTGACTTCTTCCTTATTTATACCTAATAGCATTACAAAGGTTACGTTTAATATATTAAATCATAAAGTTGTACTTAGATGTCTTTTGACACAAAAATTAGCTGTTTGAAAGTCAGTATAATTTAGCGCTCTCTGCACATTAATTTTTATATAGCTTTGATTATGTAGTCACAACTATGATTTTTTTCATTTTTCATGATCCTTTTCTTAATTTCTGTATAGCATGCCCTATTTTAGAGAAGAATCAGGTTTGAGAGCTGAGTGAGGATGACATACTGGATCTTACTCCATCTATTGCAGCAGTCAGAAAAGGTTTAATAAAGGGGCAAGGGAAAAAAAGTGCTTTTCTTATCATATGTGGCCACTACATAATTTTTTTCTCCTCAATTTGCCATTATGCAATTTGTTCCCATACTTCACACAAGTAAATCCCGTACTTCAACTCTGATCTTAAAACATGTAGAATAATACTGTGAGAGCGTATGTACAGAATTGTGCTACCTGAAAACCCCAAGTACAATAGTCGTAGTACATACATTGCTCACCATGTGTAGTTAAAGTGCAGTTCCTCATTAGCACTCGTTCTACAGATCTGAGTTGCACCTATGTTCTTTAAAAAAAAAGTTGCTATTTGCATTCAAATGAAGTTATTTCCTTTTCTATGTTGTCCTGAGCTGCAACAGGGGGAACATGAAGGAATAGGAAAGATTTTAAAAATGCACTTATTTAAAATTGAAATTATTCAATATGATACAAAGAACTGAATATGTTGCAGTTATTAAAATATAAACTAAAAAAAAAATATGTAATCGGATTGTTTTCTGCCAGAAGATTTAAGGGAAATCAAATATTTCTGAATGCACCTGAAATATCTGCAAGTATAAGATGACTTAGACCCACAAAAATCACAGGGTAGTTCATTGGTAAAGAGACCTCTGAAGGTCACTTAATCTAGTCTCCTGCTCAGAGCAGCAGTAACTTTAAAGTTACATCAGGTTGCTCAGAGTCAAGTTTTAAAAGTTTCCAAGGATGGAAATTTCATAACCTCTCTAGTTCTTAACCATTCTCTTTGTGAAAAAAATTTCTCCTGATATGCAATTGAAATTTCCATTCCTGAAATCTGTGACTTTGCCCCTTGTCCTTTTACTGCGTATCTCTGAGAAGAGTCATGCTCCGGCTTTTCTAACATCCCCTTTAGGCTTTTAACTGAAGTTGAATACTTCAGCTTTCTTGTCATTTCTGTAGCTGAATTCCTATTTCCAACCAC